TCCTTTTTATTCCTACTTAGAGTCTAGATGAGAGGATGGAGATAGAACAACCCTCTTGTAACTCTGATGTGAAGATTAAAAATCACATATTAAGGTTGGTGGAACAGAAAGATAGAAGTAGCCTGGGATATTGATGATTATATAGAATTAACTGCACTAGTCCTAGACTGCCAAGCTCTAGATAGCTTCTTATGTGGGGGGAAAAAAAAAATTACTCTCTACTTGGTTAAGCCATGACACCTGCTTTTTATTGCATACAGCTGAACACAGAGTAAACCTGATAATGATGTAAAAAGGAACAAATATTTTACCCCCCTCGATTCTAGTGAGAAAAATAAACACTCATGCAAATAATTACAATTAAACATCATGAAATGGAATTTTCTGCCTCAGCCATGTTGGAATAATGTGTATTAAATTAGTCCTCCCACATACACAAAAAATTATAAAAGCAAAGAAAACATCCATAAAACAACTATTTAAGGTGTTTCATGGCAACTAATACAAGCAGAGAGCTCTGGTGGCACAGTGATTAAGACATTCAGCTGTTAACCAAAAGGCTGGCAGTTTAAACCCACTAACCACTCCAAAGGAGAAAGATGAAGCAGTCTGCTTCCATAAAGATCTACAGCTTTGGAAACCCTACAGGGCAGTTCTACCCTATAGGATCGCTGTGAATTGGAATTGACTCAGTGGCAGTGGCTTTGGCATTGGTTTAATGCAAGCAGGACAAAGAGAACGAAGCATGGCAAAGTGAGCTCCACATGCACCACAGATTTTTTTTTCCTGTGGATATTTACTGCTTGACGCATGGAAGAATACAGTCCTAGAAGAAAGCATTGAGGAGACAAAAACTGAAATTTTAGCCTACCAGCTGGGCCAGAGGAACAAAAATCACAAAGAAAAGGGAACTTCAGGAAAATTAATCCCCAAACCTCATTGTTTCTCCTAATCTGTGCATACCAAATGATGTTCTGGTGGTGCAGTGGTTAAGGCCTTTGGCTGCTAAGCAAAAGTTTGGTGGTTCGAATCCACAAAGCAGTTGGCAAAAGAAAGATGAGGCAGTCTGTTTCTGTAAAGATTTACAGCCTTGGAAACCCTATGGGGGTCACTAAGAGTCAGAATCAACTCGATGACAGTGAGTATGTTTGTTTTGTTTTGGTGCATGCCAAAGGAAAGAGTCCAAGAAATCCAGCAGAAAGCATCAGTTGTGAAGCTAAGGAGCTGAGCAGAGATTTCAGCAGCCATTGGTGGTGGGAGATAGAGGTTGAAGTTCAAAGTCCTACAAGGTGGAGTGGCCCTGGTTTAAAAAACCAAACCGAACTAATAAAACAAACAAAGACTTTCAGTTGGGACTCTAGATTGGCCACAGTGTCCTAGGAATAAGTGCAAAATTGAAATAGACCAACCTAACAAAGGCTAAAACTAACCCTTAACAAAATTAAGGTGATTTTCTTATATTTACCTACCAAGGACATATACAATACATAATTTCTAGTATCCAACCAAAAATTTTAAAGTAAGCTAAGAAAAAGGACTAACCAACAACTGAGGAATGGATAACCAAACTTTGGTACATTCACACAATGGAATACTATGCAACGCTAAAGAATAA